GCACATCGGTCCCTGCCCCAGTGGGGCCATAGGATGCCATCTCCTGCCCCACCGCAGCCCTGCCCATGGGCCTTGCCAAGCCAGGTCCACCTGCGGGCTGACATTCAGTCCCCAGCCCCAGGGAGGTGCCTGAAGCCTGGGGCTGGGGCTGCCCCAGCTGCCCTCCCGCCTGCCCCTCTCCTCCTAAAGGGGTGAAAAACAGCTATAAATAAAGAAAGGGAAGTTGCTTTCTTAACCTACGTGAAAATTTTTCAGTGTGAAAATTGCTTCACTAGAGCTTTGGGATTTAGCTCAGATCATCCCAAAGTTCTCCAAAATATCTCCAAATTCCAGGACAATAAAGTCCCAAACAAAGCCTGTTCTCCACAGTTTCTAGTTTTTCTATTAAGCTCCTCCAACCTTCCACTGGAGTATTTACGGGGACCAAAGAAGCTGGCTGGTTCACTAATACTCTGATCTACTTGCATCCTGTTACTGAGCATTCTGGGGAGAATAGTGCTTTTGTTTTAGGCTTTGGAAAAAGCCATCATAACTTTGCCTCCCATTAAATGTATATTTGATGGCAAGCTCAGAGAATGTGACCTGTAAGGAAACAGAATAGCGTGTTTCAGGCTTTACAAAGGAAACGTTTATAACAATTTATAGCTGAGGCAGCCAAACGTGTTCTTCAGAGATGCACTGGAATTACATACAGAGCCTCAAATACTTTAGGGAAAAGGGGATTTAATCGCAGTGAAAGCTGGTGGTTTAAATGTTTGTGTATATATAACTCTATATATATCTGCATGAATAAACAAACATTAAAATCCAAATGTTTCTTCTTTCTTCCTACTCTATGTCAATGAAGGCTGTGCTTAGTCATTGACATTCCTGGCAATATAGCAAAGTAGTAAGAGAGGACAATCAGTTTAACTGTGCTCTGCAGGGTGTTCTAGCAAAGGACACAACATAGCTACATCCAGAAACAATTATTTATGAGTATTTATAATCACTGCACTGGACAGGCAAAAAGAATTTACTCTGGTCTTTCAGTTAGTGGATTCACAGCTTGCCACATCCATTCTGTCCTTGGTGTATTTGCAGGCATCTTTTATATCCCACTGAGCTGCCTGTCTGCTGCTGAGGTCTTATTTTCATCTTCAGAAGACAGTAGTAAGCATGAAGTATCCTTACAACATCCTTTCCAAGTGGACACCTGTCTTTGCTTTGCAGTAAGGACCATGGGCAAAGCTGAATGGATTAGTGATGATTAAGTACCACTGGTTGATTCTTCAATTCTGTATGTGCCAAATGGAAATAATGATACTTGCTTTTTTGCACTTTTCTGGTAAATTTAAACTTCATGCTTTCCAGGGCAGCATTTGTCTTATTAGCTGTTGGCATGATGCTCGGTGCTGTGGCATATTACTTTTAGATACAGCCGCCAGGCACTTCCAAACAACTGCTATATTTACCTAAGGATACAAGGGTACGTCGATAACAGACAGAACCTGATTTATTCTGCTTGCTGTCTGTGCAAGCCAGTTTCCAAAAGGAAACAGCGTGGCTGCACTAACCCATTAGCATCATACAGAGTGAATTTCATCAAGTACAGCAACTTGCTAGTTTTGCATGGCTTCCAGGCGGATGTACAGTTTGGTTCATGGGTAGCATCGGAGAGGGGGGGGTGTTGATGTGTGGCTTTATCTGCACAAGCCCACACAGTTGTGCTAACAGATAGGCTGAAGATAAGTTTGTAGCGTTCATTTCAGGCATTATTAGTTTGTTGTCTTCAAAAAGAAACAATAAACAACATTAATAAAAATAGCAACCCTTCTCGCCCAGTAAATAGAGCTCATATACATTGATAGCATTATATTGGCAACAATGCACCCCACATGCTCATGAAGGTTACAGGGCACATTTCCATGTAAACAGACAAGACAGCAAACTTCAAATATTTGGAAGAAATGTTTATTTAACAACTGAATACATGCTAAAAGAAATAATTTACAGCAGCAGTTTCATTACATTTTTTCTCTCCAGTTTTCTAGTTCCCATCTGAATTGAAGTGATAAATACAGAAGTAGAATTATTTACTACCCAGTGAGGAATGCACTTAAAGAATAAGTGCACAACTTTGGCACTGATATAGCAAATAAACTACCTTATCACCTGTGTGGCAAAATCTTGCATTTTAGTATTATGCTGAACACACCAAAATGGAGTACCTCTAGATAACAGTACTTTACACTGTACCTCCTTATCTAGTCAAAAATATTTACATCTCTTTTGGCTAATGTGTAGGTAGCAAAAACTGAACTATTAAACACATACCATTGATATTCACTAAATAATACATAAAAAGGATCAGTAAATGCGCATTCACATGCATTTAATTTAATTTTATTTTTTTACATAGTGACTTTTATTGGGTCATGAAGATTTAACTCTGTTCTGCAAAGATGCACCTTGTCTTAGTTTGATGATACAGCTTAACATAACCATAACAAATTCCCATCTTCAGTGATCCATGCAAGTGCAAAGTGTAGATGAATAAGAAGATTTGATGCATTTTTGTTCCTTGCAAATGGGTATGTTAAGACAAAGCAAAATAGATCTTTCTGGTTATAAATCAAATCTTTTATTTCTCTCCAGCTTAAACACAACTTTTTACTTACTTTTTCTAAAGTCTGTAACTAAAGGTTTAGAGGGTTTTATTGATGATTTACAGAAATACCATTTTTACCTTTGTCTTCAAACCTTACGTTGCTTTAAACAATAATGACACAAACAGGAGTATGAATTTTACTGAAGCTGCAGGGCATCTTTCTATACAGGAATTCATTAAGGCCTACTTTCTTTGAAAAAAGTTCATTTCACATCAGTATTAAATGCTGTTTTAACAACCATAATATGAACCTGAAAATCAAAAATTTCCACTGCTGGCTTAATCTTCTACCTTCTTATTTATATAAGCAAATACAAACACATAAACGTGACTACTCATGACTGTGACAATTGGATTGAAGTTTGTAAGATCTGATCATATCAATTGTCTGATTAGACAGCCACATTATGGTAAAAACAATGCAACTGCTGTAATTTTGTTCCTGCAGACTATCTTTCTCTGTATAGAAAAACATATCTTAAAATCCTGACTTAATTTAATCTGTTTCTTCTTCAGGCGTGGTGAAAGAGATTTGTTTTGTTTTGAGTTTTTGCAGCAAGTTGTTATAGAACTAGTTGCAATGAGCATGGTAGAGAAAAAAAGTTACACAGCAATTCCATTAATATGTAAAAAAGGAAACAAAGTCATTTAGGGTTTGTTGAAATCAGTCTGTATTTTTTCCCCACTGAATTCTCTGAGGTTCATTTTAAAACTGTTTCCTTTTGTAACACAGAGGATTCTAATGACTCGATGATACAAAATAGCCCTACACAAAAGGCTAAAGAGTGTTCTTTGATTACAGTTAAATAATTCGTCTGACATCAATGCTCAGAAAGTAATCATAAGCTGAGCTGAAAAATTAACACTTCTGTACAGGAAAGCACATAGTTGAACCTATGTTTTAATTCATCCCTATTCAGCACATCATCAAAGCATGGGAATTTAACGTCATATTAAAGTTCACAGGAGTTAAGTTAAACATGAGAGACTTAAAGTTGCTTTAAAACTAAATTCCCAAGTGCTTTCCTAAATCATGGCCTTACAGCCTTGTCCTGGTCTATTCAATGAATTTTTTGCTAAAGAATTATATGACAAAAAAGATCTTGCAAGTTCATCCCCTGCAAAAGATTCAAAGGGGACTAAAGTGACTGGGCTGTTAGCGAAAACCCAATCGCTATGGAGGCAAGAAGCCAAGGCTTCACTAGTCAAGAAAGATACCTGAATTAGTGAGTGGCAAGGAGACGGGGACATATTGTGAGAGAAGCTGTCACAACAACTGTGTTATATTGTATCTGATAAGGCTGATAGTGTAGTGATTGATAAATAATCTGGAGTGAATAACAACAAAACAGATCAGTCATCAATACAGACACAGTTTTATATAAAACTTTCTTTAACAAACTAAGGACTTTGTTCTAGTAATTTTCCCCACAATGACATTACTTGAAATTATGTCATTTACGGACTCTACCAAGATAAAGTATGGGAGGCTGGAGAAAGATGACCTCAAAAGAACTGGACACCATAGAACTGGGGACCAAAGGCACATCTGTGCTGAGGTGAAAAAATCCACTACTTATAACTCTAAACTGACACTTCGGGTGCCAGTACATTGTCTGTTTCACCCTGTTGCTCTCCTGTATAGAATAAGACAGAAGTGTGGGACCACATTATCTGTTAGTATAAACTAGTTGTAAGCTGAACTTCACCACTTTACTACTGCAGCAGACTTTGCCCACAGATAAAACTGTCCCTTAGATCTTAACACAGAGAGCTGGCTTTGAGGTTATTATTTACGTGGTGTAGTGCTGGTTCTTTGCATCTGGGTGATCTGGCCCACAGAAAGAATGGAGCATTGAGAATCAGTAGTGTGGACATATTTCTACAACTGAGCTGGGAATAGAACTCCTTAAACTGAACGTGAGCTTTGCTCATGGATATATGACAGTCTATGAGCCACAGTATTTAAATATTAGCATTCACAAATATTTACGAACCAAGCAAGAAAGAGTCTAGTTAGTAGTGAGTATTTTAATGTTATTTACTTTTTTTAATTAAAAAAAATATACAACTGAAAATCAATGTTCTCCTCTTCATTGGTTCAATCTATAGCAAGGTATTATACAAGTGGAATCATTTCAAATACCATACTTAGAAAAAAAGAATGCAGAAGACTTCCATGCTATACAGTGACTTTCGTGTTAAAATAGCTTAGTTTTAAAATGTTTTGAAGTTACATGTCATACAGATTACTGAGAGGGGAGGAGGTTAACTGCTGTGTGACTAGCTCCCCAGGAAGATTTTCCAAAAAGAAGAGTAAAGCAGCTCGTAATTGGAAGTTGTCTCTTTTCCTCTAAACCAGTAATTAGAAAGCACAATATTTCTAAGACAAAAAATCTAATCTATTTTAGAAAAGAGCTAATGTTTGCTGCATATTTTTCATGGTACATTTAAATTATAGTTTTAATAAAATACATCTTTAGATCAAAGCTGAAAGAAGTCATCAGTAGTAAGCCAGTGTACTCCACATTATTTGTTCTTCCAGATGATGGATGGCTTATGTTGTTCAGATTTCCACAAACAATCTCATTCAGTGTTGTTTTTCCTCTTCTAGTACATATAAACAGGAGAACTGGTAGACAAAACAAGAACAAAATCCTTGTGTCCAATCACGTGTTTAGACGTTCATCAGCTTAATGAGTTCATGCAATTTTGTATATAAGTCTAGAAATGGTAGTGCTGATGATGAAAGGTGGGTTTTATTTTTCTTTTCTTTAAGATGACAGCATGAAATACAGCAATTTGTTTATATCTCAGGAAAAAGAGAAAGCAAAACTTGCCTGCTGAATGCTTGCAGAACTTTTTGAGCAGTAAGCTAGGTCCGGGTGAGTTATCATCCTTGAAACTCTGGTCTTTCTGGTCTTAGAATCAGAGCAGAGAGGAAGGACTTACTAGGAAAGTTATAAATGGATTTTATTTAAACCTGGTGGAAATTGTTTGAACTTTCCGCTCTTGTAAACATCCACATAATGCCATGAAAAAGTTCATGAATATTGCATTTTTTTCCAGTTATCTGTCTATACAAGTTTCTACTTGGATGAGGTTCCGAGAGGTAATGTAGCTCAGACACTCCGTGGTGCCCTCTCAAATTCATGGGTCCTCCTGTTCCTACCTTTTTTATTCTCCTGTAGGTGCTTCCACTTATTTGTATTCACCTGCGCATTGGCAGGCCTTTGCCGGCGTTGTTTGCGGTCTCTTTTCCAAACCTGCTCACAGAACTCATCCATTGTGTTGAGATTGGGGTGGTTGATTAACTGCATGAAGTCTCTATACCAGATCTTCTGACTGGGGGTCATGCTATTGGTAGCATCCTTGGTCTTGGAGGCATCACCATCTTCTTCTTTATGGAGCAGCTCTTCCAGGTGATCAGTATCAATTACTTCCAGGGTCACTTTGAGCAAAGTTTGCATGAAGCCATGTTCCACAGCATGACAAAGATAGATACCAGAGTCTCTCCGTTGAAGACTTCGTAGCAATAAGCCCTGTTCTGTCCGAATCATGTGTTCATCCACTTTTATCTGTATTGGAAAAATGTGGTTATTTCAATAGTTATATTTCATATAAGTGCAAAATTATCCTCTAACCATACTAGTTCCTTAGTACTGCTCCTTTCAGCTGGTAAAATTTGGCCAAAAATCCCCAAAACTACATGAATGGAAAACCCCTTGCCAGACTTCTGTAGTTGTGGAAGGCTCAAATACTCTGGAAAAACTACTGATGTACTGCAAAGAGTTTGGGGGATTAAGAATTTACTCCTTAGTCCCTACTGCTGCTGAACAAAGATCTGTATCAACTCTGTCAGATGGGCTTGCTGCTAAGATTAGAGAAGTTGCAAGCCTATAATCAGTAGGGTCAACATGGATACATTTGGCTATAATACCAAGATCACATTTATCATTATCTTTTAGTCAAGCCTAGATATAACCTCATGAGGTTCAACAAGGCCAAGTGCAGGGTCCTGTACCTGGATTGTATCAATACAAGCTGGAGGATAAAGGGATTGAGAGCAGCCCTGCTGAGAAGGACTTGGGGGTACTGGTGGATGGAAAGCTGGACATGAGCCGGCAATGAGCGCTTGCAGCCCAGAAAGACAACTGTATCCTGGGCTGCATCACAAGAAGCATGGCCAGCAGGGCGAGGGAGGGGATTCTGCCCCTCTGCCCCGCTCTGGTGAGACCCCACCTGCAGTGCTGCGTCCAGCTCTGGAGCCCTCGGCACAGGAGAGACATGGACCTGCTGGAGCGGGGCCAGAGGAGGCCACAAAAATGCTCAGAGGGATGGACAACCTTTCCTATGAGGACAAGCTGAGAGAACTGGGGTTGTTCAGTCTGGAGAAGAGAAGGCTCCAGGGACACCTTGTTGAAACCTTGCAGTATGGGGGCTTTTAAGAAAGATGGGGACAAACATTTTAGCAGGGCCTGTTGCAACAGGACAAGGGGTAATGATTTTAAAATAAAAGAGGGTATATTTAGACAAGATCTAAGGCAGAAATTTTTCACAGTGAGGGTGGTAAAATACAGGCACAGGTTGCCCAGAGATGTGGGAGATGCCCCATCCCTGGCAACATTCCAGGTCAGGTTGGATGGGGCTCTGAGCAACTTGCTCCAGTTGAAGATGTCCCCGTTCATTGCAGGGGGGTTGGATTAGATGACCTTTAAAGGTCCCTTCCAACCCAAAGATTCTATGATTCTATGATATATTTGTGGGAAAGGTTCTCTGTCTTCCTACCGTTCCTTACTGCAAAAGCCCTTAGGCATAGAAGTGAGTTCCGAGTAAGTGGAGAATTTACAAAGAAACAACAAGGATTAAACCTCAAAATTTTAATACTAAAAAAGCAGCTGTCCAAAATACTGTATTTTTCTGAATTAATTAATATCTAGAATATAATTTCATTCTTTGAGTGCACGTCGCTGCAGACAAAAAGGGCACAAACCTGCCTGCTGCCTTCTCCAGTAAGAAGAATTATTCTAAATAAGTTACTGCTTATGCAAATAAAGCAAACAGCAAAAATATCTAAAGCTGATAATATAACTAAGTATTTAGTACATGCTTTAAAAAAAATGCTTCAGAGTACTTTGGGTATCTTTACAAATACTTCAATGTAACAAACAAGTTTTTGTTTCCTATTTTGATCTCCCTACCTACCAATGTATATTATATTCTTTTAAGATATGTGTGACCTAGCTTGATAATTACATGATTTGAGAACCAGAGTGAGTAATAGTGTAAGAATGTTGGTGACAAGAGAAGGAGAAAAATAAAGTAACAGCTTAGTGCACTGCAAGCAGTGAAAATCAGTGATTTTTGACTCTTATGAGTATTGTTGTTGATGAAAAAAAAGTATGTTTTCATACCCTTGTGTCCACTACAGTTTCCCGCTCTTCATTCTGTCTCTGTCTTATCTACAGTAAAGTATTAGAGCACGCAGTATGTAGTAAATGTTCCTGTTAGACCATGTTTCAGTCAAACAGTATAATTAGATGAACGCAGTTAGACTTTTTTTTAGAGGCAGTTTAAGGTTTTTGTAATCCTTAAATTCAATATAATCCTTGTATGATGCTTTAGGTGGCACTTATATAGCATACTACCTTTTTGTATTTCTGAGTGTGTTTGGAAAGGGTCTGACCAGGGAGAGGATATGAATGTTTTCTGATGTAACAGCCTGTGACACTTATTAGAGAGCTGATGGGATTTTACGGTGATGAGAATAAGACTATAGTGAAGAACAAGAGAAATTATAAGATTCCAGAGAAATTCTGCTAAATTAAAATACAAATGGACAGTATTCTGGGAAGGATTCAGGTTCAAGTGTATCTTCATAGAGAAGACTAGTTGCACTTCTTAATTTTTTCTACTGTACCTCTTCTTTGCGGTCATCATTTTGCTTCTGGAATTGCCAGTAGACTACAGCACGCTGAGATTTTGGACTGCACTCAAGGAAAGTGCTGCTATTCTCTACTCCATAAATAATCTTTTCCTCCAGGGTCTGAGCACTTGGGTTATCTGTAAAACAAGAAAAAGAAAAAAAGAATGAAAATTACCAGGAAAGAAAAATCTTAATTGATAGGTGAATTTATTTGTTTAGAAGTTGGGCTCCCTTAAGGTGTCTAAAGATAAAAACCTTAAAAGAAAAAATTCCCCATATCAGCATGCTATTTGGAAAATCTCCCTCAACATCTCTGTCTTTGTAAGGATCCCTGGTAGGTTTTTTTTTTTTTTAAATTATTTTTTTATTTTAAATCCTAACAGCTGTTAACATATCAGTATGTGAAGTTAATGAATTTCATTGTGAAATTTTTTGTAAACCTCATTATTATTCTTCAAGGAAAACATCTAGGACACGACAAGAATTTTTAATAGCAAACTGTATGCAGTGAGAAAACTCAGGGTGTAGTTGTGGAATGTCTGTAATGATGCCTCCTGGGCTCTATGATCATAATACTTTAGAGCAAAGTAATAAAACATGAGGCTATTTAAAAGTAGTATAATGTGTTTAGATTATATGGCACTGGAGTTTGCTGAAGCTGTTAATGACCAGGAATAATGATTTTGAGGAAACAATCTTCAATTAATCATTTCCTCTCATACTGATATAATTTATGGAAATGTAATGAGGTTAATAAACCAGTCATTATGGGAGGGGAAAAAGAAAGTTAAATAAATTACTTCCTTTTGTAACAACAATGTTTCAAGATATTCATCAACTTGCTGGAAATATCACATAGCTATAGGACTTATATGGCATTTGATTCTTCTCCAATACCGCAGAGGCTGTAAGACATCATATTTCTCCACCTTACTCTCCACCTTAGCTCTTTAAAATACTGTTATGGACTTAAGTGGCAACAGTATAATAATTCTGGAGTGTGGATGGGGTTGGTATGCTCTTTAACACTATGTTGATCTCATGGGGTTTCCTGTCTCTTTGCCATTATTTGTCATTCTTTCAATTTTCCACTTTTAATCTTTAGTTCTGGAAATCTTTAAAGAACTTTTGATATGTTTTAACAGGAAAATGATGTCTAATCAAAATCTTCTCAGCTAAACCCTTTGTCAAGTTTTGTTTGCTTTCGCTGTGCCTTTATCATATTGACCACGTTGTTTAACAAACACAGGCTGTTTGCTAGATGACTGAGCCAAAGGTAAAAATAAAATTGAGCTCCTGATTTATGTTGATACAGCAATCATATGTCTTTCCAAAATGACTTGCAGCCCTGAGAGAGGTTGGGAAGAAGGAATGGGGACAAAATAGGAACTGGTGCTTGAGCAGTTCTCAGTAAGGAAAGATCAAACAGCCTATTAACACTATAGAAACAGGGAATGGGTTAGTTTGCGTTCCTCTGCTGGATTGTGAACCTTTCCAGCAAGTAAGTGGGGTGCTATATAAACAACTAAGTGAAACAACTTTTATGACATTTCTCAGAAACCACAAACCACATCCCTATGAAGAATGTCAGTGCAGCTTTGGCCCAGGAAGATGGGGAGCAATGGAGGAATGAATGAGAAAGCAAAGCAGCAAGAGAAGGGCAAGAAAGCTGGAAGAGAATGTAACCAAGAGTACCAGTGGAAAGGTCTGAGATGGAGCATGGGTGAATTTGTCAGGCAGACAAAGATCCTCAAATAGTCAACAAGAGGAAGTTTGATGTCTGAACTGGGATCCACAACTGATAGCACATGTAGGGCTGCAGCATAAGACAGGCAGTAGGAAATGACCCCTTTTATAGCCTGGGATACATACGTTACTGCTCCAGCAATGCGCTTCTGTGAAACAGAGATTTCCAGGCTGCCAGAATAAAGGATGGAAACACAAGATTTCACTCTAGGATGCATGCTCTATTCCAATTCTTCTCTCCCAGGTTCCATGAACTTTGAATCATGGTTGCAGAATGACCCAGCTTCAACAAGACCCATCCAATAGTTTGCGTGTTTGTATTGAAAGTAGAGCTATGAAGTCAGTTTTTAAAGCCTAAGTGGACTTTGAGTCCTCTCCTCCCACATCCTCAAGAGCTGATTTAACCAGCAGGTTACAATTAGGTGGCTTGCACTTGACTATATTTTCCTGAACATAACATAGTCCAAGTGAATCATGCAGGAGCAGAGCACATGTAACACTGGTCTCATTAGATCAAAGGGAACGGCATTCTAGATAGCAAATATCAGTACAAAAGACAAAAATAGATATTTCTTTGGCAAGGGTCCTACTGCCCATGAGCAGTAGCATATTTTCAAGTACCTAGAGAAGATTCTGCTGGAAAACTTAGGTACCTAGGATATCCTTAGAATCATAGAATAGTTTGGGTTGGAAGGAACCTTCAAAGGTCATCTAGTCCAATGACCCCTGCAATGAGCAGGGACATCTTCAACTAGATCAGGTTGCTCAGAGCCCCATCCAACTTGACATTGAATACTTCCAGGGATGAGGCATCTACCACCTCTCTGGGCAATCTGTGCCAGGCTTTCACCATCTTCGCTGTGAAAAATTTCTCCCCTATATCTTGTCTAAAGCTGCCCTCTTCCAGTTTAGAACCATTACCCCTTGTGCTATTGCAACAGGCCCTGCTAAAATGTTTGTCCCCATCTTTCTTAAAAGCCCCCATACTGGAAGGCTTCAACAAAGTGTCCCCGGAGCCTTTTCTTTTCCAGGCTAAACAACCCCAACTCTCTCAGTCTTTCTTCATAGGAGAGGTGTCCCATTCTCTGATCATTTTTAGTTTCTAAGTATTCTTAGTATCTAAAAAGCTAGTCACAACTTTTCATGGAAGTTACCTTGAAGGTGGGTGCTCTGACACCACTTCAAACTTATGAATGTTTTCTTGGATCTGGTCCATGGCATTCTAGATGTCTGGCATGTTAGAGATCACCATGGAAAGTGGCAGAAGCCCCCTTTAAATTTCCTCGCAGCTTCAGAAAACATAGTATGGGTGACAGTCATGCAATGAGAAAGGAAGGATTTAAGATATGCTTCAAATTCCATTTCCATGATTTAAGGGAGCAGAAAGCAGGTCCAGAAATATCTATAAAGTTCATGTAATATTGAGCACGTGGAGTGCAAAAAAGTAAGTAGAGTGATGGAATAATCACAGGAGCAGAGTGCAGCTCTGGGACTGAGGGAGAAACTGAAGTGACTAGGAGGAAGAATGAAAGTCTGAGAAGTTCAGAAGAGCAGCTGGAGGAATTAGAAAACTATAGAAGTCATGAAGTTGATTATGAAATTCAACCCAAAATCCTGTCTGAGAGATGTAATTCCCAAAATGAACCCAACAGCAGTATCAGTTTACTAACCTGATATATGTCCTTTAAATACATAATTTCTGACATAACCAAAGTACGAAAGGCTAAGTACTTATACCAGGATTTCTTTGCAGATGAATGAATCTCACTATACAGTTAAATTCAGAGTGATTCTTTGAGCTTCCCTTGTGATAAATCACCTACAAAAATGTGACTTTTCATTTACAAATTCTTCAGAAAAAGAAATTGATTAATTTCTTGGTAGCACTAGTGCGTTACGTTTAAATAAAATTTTTCTTTAGGTGACACAAAGGTGACCATGCTTTTAGATTTAAGCATTAATGTCTGGCCAAACACCTGTACAGCCCCCTGTAATGTTGCTGTGTAGTCATTTTATACTGCTTCTTAAACATTTGCACATAAGGGCAACTGAAAGATCTACCTAAATCTTATTAAAAGCACTAATGCTTTAGACTGATATCAAAGTAAGTTTCTGCAATGTCTTTAAAAGTGAGATATATACTAAGAGATTGTATTTTTTTTCTTGTTTCTGTTTTTTTTTCTTGATTTCTGGAGAATCAACTGGCAGTTACTGCAAAAGAATGTGTAGATGTCCTGGTTTCAGCCAGGATAGAGTTGGTTTTCTTCACAGAAGCTAGCATAAGGCTGTGTTTTGGATTTGGGATGAGAAAGTGTTGATAGCATGCTGATGTTTTGAGCTGTTGGTAAGTAGTCAAGGACAGTCCAGCTTCTCGTGCTGGGCTGCTAGCAAGAAGGCTGGGGGTGCACGGGAAGCTGGAGGGGACACGGCCAGGACAGCTGACCCAGACTGGCCAAAGAGATATTCCATACCATATAACGTCATGCCCAGTACATAAACTGGAGTTAGCTGTGGGGCGGGAATCACTGCTTGGGGATGGGCTATCAATCACAGGTGGTGAGCAATTGCTGTATTGGGCATCACTTGTTCTTGTACATTCCTTTGTCGATATTCTTATTGTTGTTATCATTGTTGTGTCCTTCTCTCTTGCTGTCCTATTAAACTGTTTTTATCTCAACCCACGAGTTTTTTCCGAATTCTCTACCCCATCCCACTGGGGGAGGAGGGAGTGAGCGAGCAGCTGTGTGGTACTTAGTTGCTGGCTGAGGCTAAACCACAACAGTAGACAAGTAGTAAATGATTGTTGGAGCTTTTTTTGTGGCTATAGACAAACTCAGTTCTTCATCCTGACTTCATTAGTCCAGGAAACTACTAGTCATAACCAAGGAAAAAACTCAGCATAAGTTGGCATAGGAAGTTTATGGGCCATACAACTGCCTCTACAATGAATGATCACGCATAAATGACAAGTAAATACAGGAAAATGTTATAGACTTACAACTCAGAATTAATTTAGAGAAAATTTTACTCAAGAACAATCTAAAACTAAATAAAGTATTTTGACAGTGCATCCATAAAGTCTAGGACCTAGAACTGCATTCCCTCAGTACTTTTTGTAAATTAATGATTCTTCTAATCATGCTCCCTTCATTTCACCATTAAGTAAAATTTTCCGTGATATCTTGTCTCGTACTTGCTCTGCTCATTTTGACAAAGCTGTATTAAAGCTCCTTGTGACCAGGTGTACCACATATAGTAGCTTATTCCTGAACTTGCGTTCTCATGATCGTTGTAATGAAACAACTGTGCTGGATTACTCTCTTCCTTTTGGACAGAAGACATCTTTTCAGACAAATATATTTACCAAATATGGGAAGATATAAAAAACAAAGTGTTTTGAAATCCTTTTCTTGTCTATGAAGAACGGACCTACAGTTGTAGAAATCACAGCTAGGAAGGGCAAGAGAACCTTAAAAAAAATGGACATGTGGTAGCCCAGATCATCATTTTACTCATGAGTAAAATGTCCAGATAGTAAAAAGATAAAGCTAAGACATACTTCTGCTAGTTTAGTCCCTAGTGAAATTTTCCTGTTGGGGAACTGAAAGTGTTGTCTCAACCTTAATATATGGATGTTCTCATCTGCACTGTATAAGCATTAATAGGTAGCATGCAACTGAAAATTTGTGAACTTTCTACTAGTCCACATTGACTAGTTCAAATCTAAACTAATTGTGCATTCATGAGTTCTCAAAATGTGACATCTGCATATTGATCATAATCTTTTCATGCAGTTTTCCAAATCCTTTTCCCAGCTGAACAGCTTGGCCTGAGTCTGATAATCAAGAATTAAAAAGAAAAGCTATAGTAATGTTAGCTGCAAGTTTCAAATTATTAAAAAGGAAGATAGAAGAAACTATTACTGAAACATAGTGGTTGTGAATTATAGCTGACACAAAAGTGCAACTTTGGACTATTTATCATTCTTGCTTTTACAAGGACTGGAAAGACATGAGGGTTTTGAGGTATCTCCATTTTCAGCCACTCCTTTATTTATCCCAGAAATCTGTACAGTGTTTTAACTGTTATTATAGATGTACCACATACATGAGTAATCATTTTTTCCAGCAGAGGGAAGTATTGCCTAAGTGTTCACTTATGGCAAAGTGTCATTTTTCGTTTCCTGAGTGAAGACCTTCTGAAGAGTTTGGCAACAAATAAGTAACTGTGAGAAGTTTATCAGCCAAACAATTCAATAAAGGAAGCCTGATCAATACATTGTGAAAATGGAACAACCAACAAAAAACAAAACCAAAAGATGACAAAGAAATTCCATGCTGAAAGCACACAGGACAGGTCTACTGAAAGGAACATCCTGACCTTAAGGGCTGTTAGTGTGGCACCTACAACAAAGACCATTCTATACGTAGCCAAGGTAGTTAATTATGTGTTTGATTATCATCCTATGCAAACTATATGAAGCAACATGTACATACTTCTTGCTGTTCTGAAGGAGATATGACTCTTTTCTTATGTAATATGCTAGCATGATGGTATAGTATTATAAGTGAAGCAGAAAAACTGAGATGCTTAAAACTGTTAACTTGAGGAAAAACAACAAAAAACCCCAGCCTTTAGTGTCTGGTCCAGGTCATTTTAAGCAATCTAAATTGGGATAATGATATATTATATTCATTTTTCCCAGATGTTCAAGACAATTTCACCAACAAATCATTCATGAGCTTCTTACTCTTCTCATGCAGTCTGTAAATTACATACAAATTAGTTGTACTTCAGTCAAACCCGTAACTCACCATGATGCTGCAGGTCTGAGCAGTGGGTTAGTGGGTCTCCATTTCGGATGTCTTGTCTTCTAGTACGTCTGCAAATATCACATTTGAAAACTGTTAATGACCTTCTCAGTGGTCAGCATTCACATTTGCCATGACTGAAGAGGAACAAATGGAACATATATAATTACACAGGTCACAAGTGCACCTAAACAGCACTAGGAAGGAAATCATATTGTTACTACTATATTCTATGAATTGTCACAGTTTGTAGAATCAGCCTTTACTCTTACAGGTAAAGTCTTCAGAAACTGGTAAATATCTATCCCTTGCACTGAGCCTATGAAGTTTATTTTAACTGCATTGGCAATATTGATCACAGCAGAATTCATTACTTGATTCATAGATATAGGGACTGCTAAGTGATCAAAGTATATACAGTACTTTTTAACATGCATCAAAAACCATGAAGAAGTTCCAGCTTTTCTGCAAGTACAGAATAATTTAAGTATCACGGCATCTTTTACCCAAAATGAAATCATAGGATGGGTGGCTTTGAAAGAATGTCAAAGTCCTGTATTTCCTACAAAATCTAAATTGAAATACATAGATCATTTCAGCCACTACAGATCTCACCAAAACATTTCTGAGAAAACGTTTTCCAAAACTGTTGTAAATTCCTTTGTCCTTAGAATAAACAGAATAAAATACTTGAATGGGAAGATTTTGAAATGTCATTTATTCCATGCTTTGTAGCTTGAGTCTGGGTTCCAGCTTTTATTGCATGTCCATTTAACATAGTATATTCTTTCCCCAGCTTGTTTTCCACTGGCTCTTTTGGAAAACGGATTGATCTGTGCTAAAAAGTGTTGTATTTCACAGAAGAAAGCTTTTTAATGCCGTTTTATTTTGCATTTGTTTTTCTCTCTTTGTCTGCTCCTATTTTTATTTAAATAGCTGCGACACAAAATTCAACTGAGCCAGAGAAAAGCTTTTCATATAAAAAAAGAAAAAGAACAAGGCAAACAAAGATGTGTTTCAAGTGTGAGCACTTTACTTTAGGAATCAGAGAAAGCCTGCGGGCTTGCAAAATTAGAAGAGAACAAAGAGGATTAGGCTGCTGAACAATGCTGTGATTTCAGATTATGGCATCCAGCAACGGATATGCAAAAGTCAAGTAGCCTTGTAAAAAGCACTGTTGGTCACTCCCTTGTGACAACAGCCCACATTTTTAAAAAGCCATTGTTCTGCAGTACAGAGACCATCTCTCTTCCAGCCCTGTTTTCAGACTCTCACTAACAGCCCAGCATCAGCACATACTAAGAGTTCTCACAGAGGCACCGTCAACTGTACAGCTGACTCCTCTTGGAGGAAAGATTTTAGCCTTTTTTTTCCCACTGAAAACTACTGAAATGTTAAAATTGAAATTAGTTAAGTATGGCAACAGGGGTTTTTTTATTGTTTGAAAAAAACAATTCAGAATGTGCATATTTATAACTTTCTGAATAAAAACTTCTCTAAATTATCCTAGGGAATTAGCATGCTTTAATAAGAAGAAACCTTCTGTTGATTGATATATGATTCATGAAATGTTCTAATCCTAATTTCAGATATCATCTTCATATTACTCATTACCAATGAATAAAAATACACTAAAACATAAGGAACCATAAAATTTTGTTATTCTTTCCTAAATTTTGAAATGCGGCATATTTATAGGATGCTATTTGTAGAAAAGAAGTCTGTGGAACAACTCGTATTACTGTCAATGGAGTTTGGATGAGATGTTTAGTTAGAATCTCAGGAAAATGTTGCACATATCACCATTGTATCAACATGATGATTTATGAAATATGAACCAGAACATATCTGCATGGAGTAAAGTTAAGTGGACACACTACAGGAGCTCTGAACTGTCATTTAGACTTGTAAAATACACAAAGAAAGAGAAGTAAATTATAATAACGGCTCATAAAAGCTCCTTTTTAAAAAAGAAGAGGAAAAAAAAAAACAACCGAAAAACAAAACCCCAAACCAACTATTAGTAAAGCATCTGTGCAATTGCTTCAGGATTCAACTTTACCAATATTTCTGGAGCCTAAAATTACGAGGATTCATTATTAGGAAAATGTTGACATTCCAGCAATGCTGATTTTGTCATACACACATCCAAAGCTGGCTTGAGGCAGCGGCTACAGCGGGTACCAGGTAAACAGCCCCCTCTGCCCAGTAACACAGACCTTTATTCTGCAGCTGCTGCTGCGGTCAAGGGAAAAACGGGAGACAGAGGCTTTTTCTGAATGCATTGTCAGGATCCCAGCCTCCTTTTTTGGTGAGGAAAAGGAAGGAAAGAAAAGACTTACTTTTTCTTTCACAGTGGCCTCAAGAAGAGTAATTCTGCACTCCAAGGTTTTTCTGTATCTGTGCAACCCAGTTGAGCCCCAGTAACCCTGTCCCTTGTAAGAAGAGGTCCCAGTCCCGTTACCCCTGATGGCAACAGTGAGCTCAGTCTGCTGTTTATTTAATAAATTGGAGAGATGGGTAAGGAAAAGACAAAGAACCCTATTTCTTCCATCAGTGTAAGCAGATGAATGAGAGGATGATGTGCTCTGTGGGTCTTGAGTTGGGCTGGGAGTAGGAATGGGTACTAGTGAATGCTGAGAAAGGATGAGGTTCAGGCATTAGGATTAGTAAGGAGGTAGCAGAGAAGAGTGATTCAGTGATTCCTGACCTTACTGTCTCCTTTGACTCAGAGGCAGTACTCAACCACACTGACTTCTAACCCTTAAAAGGTTCAGATCAAATCAATCTCTTAGACTCTCCTTGAAAACCTCACTGTTCCTTCTCCTCTCTTTCCTCCTCCTCCAGAAAAACTGCTGTGCTCCCACCACAAATTTGAATTTAGCCCATGCAGCTGAGAAAATTTGACCAGCTCTTCTTTTGGGATGAATATAGCTTCTCCTTTTTAATTATTTTCTAAAGAATTTCATAAAAAGCTTGTCTCAGATTAACCCTGTTTTCTGGTGTAAAAATAGAACCTGATGTTCCATAAGCAGCTTTTTCTTTTGTCATCAGTATTTGTTTAGGGTACATTGTAATGCAAACCTTGAAATTTTAATCCCCTCCATCTGAAAAGTCTGTGACACAAATACTACTTCCCACCCTTTACCACATTTCACCTCCTGCATCAACCAATACAAATCTGGAATTTGGAGTCTTGACATTCTCAACTAAGTATTTGCTACCATTAATTTTATGTATATAAACCCTTGTGTGTATAAGGTCTTGGATTCTTTGTTTCTTCATAAGTGCAAGGTGTTTGGCATATTCGATTTAATGTGAGCACTTTTTTATCATTTTAGCCAATTTATCATGGGAATCTCAAAACTACATCAGCGTCTGTTTTTATTTACAAGTGTATCGATTCAGTTATTCCTAATTTCTGCTTCAGTAGCTAAGAGCTATTCAGTAACTAGCTTATAAACTTTAAGAGAAAGAATTTCAGAGATAAAGGCAGGCAAGGAAAATATTATTTTAAATCTTCAGATCAGGCAACTAGGACTTGTAAATTTTTCATAAAAGTTGTGTTTTTCACTTGCAGAGTCTGTTTTCCCTTAACCTTTGCATTGCAAAGCCTTTAGCATCAGTGCAGCGTGAATATAAAATAGTGATTGTTCCGATCTGGTAGCATTTAGACACACATCAACACATACAAGTTATACTTGAATAAGAAAAATAATGCTATATAATACTAAACAATAACTTTCCATTCATGTCCAAACAATTTATTAATATTTCCTTTGAATTAAAATTCATGAAAACGCAGGGTAATTTACTTGGGCAAGTAGTTCTTTTAATATCAAACCCCCTCCCCATGCTACAGAAAGGGTATTTTTTCTTTTTACTGTTTATTAGTGAATATAAAGTTATGAATCCATTTCAGACACAACTCTGTTCTGAATGTTTTTTTACAACAGCTTTTTAAGCCAACCCAAGAAGTAGCAGTGTTCACTTTAAATCAACCAAGACTTCATATTACTTGTAACTCGCACAATTATGTTTTCTTTGGAAGAGAAGGGGCTCCGGTTAACCATCCCATGAAAAATCTCCAAAGCCCTCTGGTCATATTGAGACCATCAGTTAAAACAAATAGCAAACCATGCAGACATCTGAAACTGTCCCTACCTCTTAGCAGTGGGGAAATAACGTGAGCAAGATGAACCATCCCAGGCACAGTAAGGGTCTCTTGCAAGGCAACACTCAGCACATGCTTTTCCATACACATCACAGCGGTGTAAAGGAAGCTGTGAAACTCCAGTGGCTGAGCCAATGTAGAGCTTACGCTGTTACAAAAGTTAAAAAAAAAAAAAAAAAATTTAAAAAAAAGCGAATGACAAGTTTTTTGCTAGGAAAACATAAAAAAGTTATATAGCAATATGTTAGGACCATTACAAATGCAACAAAGAATCATGATCCTGATGTACACTAAAGGAATGAGAACAGAATTGTCCTCAGGATAAAAAAAAAACAAATAGGAAAAAGGTTGATTTTTCTATGACGGTCTTGGTGACTTCTCTAAACAGTAAAAAAATCTAAAGTACTCTTATTTTGTATTCAGATCCTGGCACTGGAGAAGCACTACAGTCAGTGACAAAACACAATGGAGAATACGCTTTTGAATTTAAAGAAAAACAACTTTAATGTAGATTTCCTATATACAACTTTGATTTGTGTATTTGTCGGGGAAAACATAAAGTAAATTATTATCAGTAAACTGATGCTAAGATATTTCAGCTTGGAAGTGCTGCCACGCATGTACTTCTTTGTCTGTCTGTTAATTCTGATGCTTCATACTCTTTTCTTTAGGTCACATACTCTAACTGAAACATATCTTTAATGAGGGAAGATGGCTTACTTTACTTCAGATAAAAAATGGTCTTGAGTGGAAGATGTAGTTCAAATGGAGAGAGAAGCCATGAAGTAAATAAAAAAATCATGCATGCAAAATGAACTACAGCTTTGTATGGCATCACAAGAGAGTATCTTGTCTCTCTCAATTTCCTCTCTGATATCAAATTCACGTGGTCCATTAGGGAAGCTGGTCCCCAGAGGGACGTAAATAAACTGAACTACTTATCCCACGTGAAAGTCCAAACAGATATTTCAGCTTAGCACTAATTCACAAAGAAAACAAGTATGAATGTAATAAGTAAATAAAGTTCCCTCTGAGATGCAAAACTAGGGGAAAACAAAATAAACAGATAAACAAAAATTAAATGGCATAATCCTTCTGTTTCGGAAACACTGACACTTTGCTATCAACAGCTTAAACTTTGTCACCCAGCACCCATGGTGAATCAATTAACACATGTCTTTTTAAGGTCTCACTCCAAGCAGTCCCACCAAGAAAATACAAATTTGTATTAATTTTTCCTTCTTGGAAATCATAAGGCTGGTGTGAAAAATAGGATTTCAAGAAACGTTATCAAAATTCTTCATCTCCTGCTTTGCGATGTCCCAGAGGTACCGTTTCCAGAGAATTTTGGGATGGAAGGTGGCTGAATTCACCTACCTACAAGAAATGATGAGCACTGGATGCCAGGAGACAGCAAAACCAAAAACACTCATAAGAGGTGTTGCGTTAACTTTTTTCAGAGGCAGCAGCTTGGCAGTTTACACAGACGTATTAATTGTAACAGAAACATCCCATGCATTTATATAAACATCAGTATTTTCTCAAGGAAAATATGACGGGGAAAGCATCCAAAGGAAAATTCACTGGTAAGTTGAAAACCAAGCCCTTTCTAAGCAGCTGCTTCCATCTATTATAGTGCCATAGCTGAGCTGCAAACCCACATTCTCTGAGCAAAAATCTCTGACCACACAGAGCTCTACACAAAGCCTTAACTGTACATACCCGTCCCCAGTTAGTGCTGTATCCTTGAGAAGCAGATGACAGGCAGCAGACACCATAAACTGATTCCTTCTAACTTAAGTCACTTAATGAAGTACCCAGCTTAGGGGTACATTCTGCACTAAAAAGAGCAGCAATTCAAACCTTAACGGACCTAAACATTTCTCAAGGGACACCTTTTCTCTTTACTGATTATGGAGGCAGCATAGGTCAAATTAGAGCTTCAGTTAAGTATCTTAAATGTCCAGATGGTATTGATCTGAGTCCTATGTAATTGGGGCATTAATATCTATATAAGAATGTAGCAATGCATGGTGCAACTAATATAAAAATCAACCCAGAGAATGCACATGGGAAAATAGAGAAGAATGGTGTGATGGTTTCCTATGCATCCCTGTAACCAATTTAATTTTGTCAAAAACCCCTCCCTGATTTCTAATAAATGTCTTTAGAATTAAAGAATGACCAGAAACACATAAGAAAAAAAAAAAATGAGGCCAAAATGAGGTCACTTAAAGACTCTATTCCTTGTAGATAGGTTCATAAAGTTCATTCAGTGATCTACATCATGTGTTTCAGGTGCTGCCCAGCCTGAAGGCTGCTGCCTTGTTTGCTGCTCTTCTGATCATGGTTTTAGTCCCCAGCTGGTGATCATTATTCTGGACACTAATAATATATAAATCCAGGCAGTATAAAATTCAGAAAATAGTAATAGAATGATTTGTATCGATGGCCTGACCTTACTTTGCCATACACAGTCAAACTGCCTTTTGGGCAAAGAGTTTCTCCCAAGAGGTTGTTAATTTAATAAATCAGTTGATTATCAGATCAAATCAGAGTGGAAAAAAATAACAAAACCATCCTCTAAAAATTCTTGCAGAAGCATCAGAACTCCAGAAAAGCTGAGGAGACTAATGTATTAAGCAATAAATTTTAAGTGGTTTCTGTTTGCCCCACAGTGCTGCCCAAAATACAGTCTTT